TGGCGTCCTTACCATCCCGTTCTGTCTCCAATTTCTCGTGTTGGTCTCATGTTGGGCTCAAAGGCTTGCCTTTGTTGAGATAGCTGGGCCTACGAAGTTGATAACGTTACGGGGCCCTTGCATCATCGCTGTCGCACCGATTTTTATACCGCTGTGAGGCATGAAGCGAACAAACGAAGCGAACGTTCAAAGACAACCAAAGGCTTAAGAAGTCGAAGGGCCACCACTTCGTGCATGGTAAAAGTGTTGGCAGGTCTTGGCAGGGCATGATTCCCTATTCGGTACGGCTGCTATAATGATCACGCGGTACCTGCTCCTTCACTCCACCACCCGTACAGAAAAAGTTTCAACATGTTGAAATTGAAACCCTTGAATTAACGGTGATTCACCGGTTTTCAACTAGTATTCAACAGGGGTTCAACACTATTCACCATTGAGTTATAATTATTATATTATATTATGGATAATTAAATGGAAGCTAAGTTTACAGAAACGTACACTGAAAAGGAATTTCAAAAACAAAATGGAGATGAAGCAATATCCATCATGGAAATACTTTGATGTAGTTCTCGCCTTATATGATAGGTGTAACATTTAATTGGGTTTGGCGTCACTCTGACGTCCACTATGGAATACTCGTATCTACTCCGGCGGAAAGACGTGGCAGTGACGTCCAGTACAGTATTGCACTTCAATGACATCTCATGGATGTATTACAGCCGCAGAGAATGTTCCGCCTTGTTTAATGACCAATGTTTCAGATATGTTTATCACACCCATATGGTTGTGATATAAGACTTGCAAAAGAGACATGGTGAAATAGTCGCAAAAATTTATATTTACGCATTATAAGACTGGGCGGTCTGATTATTAGTCTCATAATTCTGAAAGCATTTTTACATTAGCCTTTGCCGGGCTGAATAGTTGAAAGTTCACAGATCCTGAGATAGGCTAGCCTTACGTCAAAGGAACCACTTCACATCATAGCACAACATCTTTAAGTCGAACTACTGAGACCGATCAGTGAATGGAGCGATGGAGGTGAATGCGAATGTAGAAGAAAGAGATATATCACCCCTATTATCATGGACGCCTGAAATTCCAGGACTTCTGGCTGCAGGCATCACGGTGAGCTATGCCACTGTTCCCTTGCGATTATAGGGACTACTCTCGTCTCCTCCTTCTTCCAAGAGATGACAAGACGAGTGGGAATTCCGATTTTCCTCTGCATCTCCTCCCATTCCTGTGGCCGATTTGGAAATCTCATCTTGAAAACGCACATCCTCGGATGATAAGTAAGAGTTCGTTCCAAGTTCATATCTCGAAGCGTTTGGCCTAATATTGGAATAGTGAAATTAGTTTGGAATAGTGAAACTAGTGGCAGCAGGTAAACCAGCTGCAAACCAAAGGAAACTAAATGCTCTGTTATCGTGTAAGGAGTCAACATGATCTTCAGAGACTATCACCCAAGTAGCATTCGAACGTGTTTAATGTACGTTTCACTTAGGGTACTGCCAGCATTCCATGAAAGTACAGGGGAACGTTGTATTGACTGCTTAACACGTTGACCGCCAAGGAAATGCTGGTTTGACTATTGACTTTCTGGCTATTGATTTTCCCATTCAGTGAGGCGCACCGATACGTGGCGGTCAACCTGTTAAATATGCGTCATTTAGAGCTATCAAAAACAGTTCAATTCAGGCGATCCCTGAGCTATGTGAACTTCTGTAGGACGGAAATGTGATATTTCAAAGAAAAGGGTTCAATGAAAGATATTTTTCAGGCTTCATCCAATGTGTAATTAGCGTATTGGATACGTTCTTTTCATCCTCTACATTATATCCATTCTAAGTAAAAGCCCTGCTCCCCTGGCAAGATGTCAGAACATTATTGAGCCAAATAGTCCAGTTACTTTTATGAAACAGTCTGGTGGAGTAGCCTGTGATCATCGTTATTCTACAATAAAACCTTCATCGTAGACGCAGTTATCTCATACTCAAGTAGCAAGAAACATCCTGTCCTGAATTCCTTCTCACAGGAACGATGAGTATCATTTTTATCTTTTCCGTTTCACTCTTCTCTACTTCCCTAATGTGACCTTCCAAATTGAACAATCCTCTCTCTCTACCTTTCGAGCCGGAGTTTTTTGAAGGCTCCTTGAACTGGGTCACCTCTTAAGACCGATTTGTTGAAGAATTAAAATATCTTCCCCTCTGTTTTATGAGGGGAAAGATCGGCTAGCGTGGGGAAGGTATTGGGGGCTATTGCAGCTGCATCAGGAATAGACCTGCTATGTGCGACTACTTTGGTGTCATCTTGTCTCGGTTGAGTGAACCTTTGCTTCAAGCCACTGCTAGATGGATACAATAGATATGCCTGAGGAGGACATATCTATAATGTTCAACCTATGTCCTTCAAATGCCGCATTTTTTGTGACGACGCCTTTACTGAGCGCAGAAAAGGTGCTCATCTGCCTACATCGGACGTCCAAAATGGAACACAATTTGAACGTCCTCGAGAGCGTTCACGCGTTACTTGGGCACGGTCATACGTATAAGTCCTGCAGGTCTCATTTCACCCGTGATTATCCTTGGCACCCGACAATGTGAATGGAATATCATCAATGATGAGAAAAAGTATTCAGTATTTCCCGGAACTGAAACGGCAATGCAACGCTGAGCACACCGATGTCATTTGTCAAAGCTGATTTCATCTATCATTTAACATGACACCTCAGCACGTCAATGGATCATAGTGCCCATAGAGCGGAAAAAATTCTGCAGTTTGAAAGAAGCATATTACGTGGAGTCCTACGAGTCGAACCATTGCGAGAGTATTAATCTGGAATCTACAAAACACCTTCTCAGTGCCGGCGCGCAGACGCGAGACCGCAATCACGATAAATGAACAAACCCAAAAGTGGGGGAATCCCAGTCTGAGAAACATCAATGACTGGTATCGTACATCAAACTCATACGAATACAGGAATACTGGGAGCATGTAGGAAACAAGACAGTCACGATTCGCAGACCACCTTTTATTTGTACTGCAAGCTGCCGGTCTCATAGAGTGTACTTTCAATTTTTTTGTCATCTACCAATGCAACTGCGATATGGGAAAACAATTCAACCTTTGATGAACTTTCGTGCTCCGTATGTCATCATGGACGCTTAAAATCCCTGTATTCCAGACAGCAGGAACTAGACATTGCAGTAAGCGATGCCATCCTTCCCTTGCGAGTAACAAGTTAACTCTCGTCTCCTCGTTTATCCTAGAGATGGCGTGACGAGAGTGAAACTGCGGTTTTCCGTTAAAGTTGCTTCCCCTCTTTTTCGTGAGGCAGATTTGTAAATTTCATTTCGAAAAGGCACATCCTCATACGGTAAGGAAGAGTTCTCTCGAAACCCCAAGTTCATATCACAAAGTGTTTGGTCTGTAAAGCTGTAACACACACACACACACACACTCAAACACAAACGTACAATTGTCGCTCGGCCTAGCTAGCGGCGGAATCGCGGACGCTCTATGTTTAACCTCCGGTTTGATTTAACGAAGAAAGAGCCGAAAGGCATGCACGAAATGTTATTGTTCCAGTTATTTCAGCCCGTGCGCACACAGTCTTTTAGATTAGTACCGTATATAAATGAATATATATAGGGGAAGGTTGGATTTTGAACTTGACTCGCTCACTGTAACCCCTTTGACAACCGACCGTCATCCCATTTCAACTAACACCCTTCGTTTTCTATCATAATCGATAGACAATCATGAAATTGAACTGACTCAATCCGAGGAATCGCACAGCGAAATCCTATTTACATCGTGCCACGCATACTATGATACCATACCAAAAAAGCCACCGTCGAACTTCGTCCCAGAGGCCAAAATCTGTTCATTCCCGAAAACACGCGGCAGAAAAACGATTCCACCTCCAACCGAAAGCAATAGTGTGCCCCCCTTCTCGCCCCTTCTGCCATGAGCCAAACTGGTCGACATACAGAAGTCTCCAAGCCCTATTCTCATGCGACTCGGTCTCTTCCAGGTCTCGGAAAACTCGGTCTTTCTTCGTCTTACGCTTAAGGATCGTTCAATGTGAAATATCCCAATGAAACATTGATTTTTGTGGATTACAATCTCAGATCTCCATCAAATTTTATTTGTGGGTTTCTTTTAGGGGAAGAGAAAAAATTGCCAGATTTTTCTCACTTTTGTTGACAAATTAGGCGTATACAAATTTCATAGGCCTCCGCCTATGAAATTTGACCACCCGTGGGACTCTGGGCATAAAATCTGAAGTTATGATCTGATTTTGATGAACAAGATGTCTTTCACAAGGGAAAACTTGCAATACACCAAATACCCTGTATGTGTGTGAGACTCATCGTTCGAACGCCTGGCATCGAATGAAGAATAGTGGATAAAGATCGGCTCGATACAGGCCCGATCGACAGTTTATCTTGGTCGGCATTCCAGGTTCTGGTCGGTGCTGGCGAAGGCTTCCTCTAAGACCTCGAGCTCTAAGGCGTAGAGATGAAAGCGGGTAGCTGGCCACCGGCCGCCGAACAGGATTCGCAGGTCGGGTAGGACTCGGAAGGCGATCAAGTTTCGGGCAGGTGCGGGCCATGATTCGAATCACGTTGAGTTCGAAGAGTCATTTCGCTTCCACCCACTCTATCATTTGTAGAGTAATGCTTTATCTCCCATGAATCCTCTGCAATTTTTCGCCAGGTAGACTTGCTGCCAATATTCAGCACAGTTGCACATAGGCCTATGTGTAACTGTGAACAATAACGATTCTTTGACGGACGACATTCGTTGCATAATGCCTCTGAAGCTCACTTCCTATTTCAGGCAGGGGTAAAGGTCATTCTTTGAACGTTGCTGTGCTGCTTCAGTGGGATTCCATGGCTACACTCAGAGAAATCGCTGAATCATGGTGTTACCATTTCGAGTTATTATTATTATTTCTTTTTTGAGTATAAGGCATCAGCAGGAATTGTATGAATATCTTCCCGACCGTGCCGGCCCGCCTGAAGGGCGTCTCTACAGGCGAAGTAGGAAGGGGGGACGGTTTGAACGGCCTCGCATCGCCTATGCGCATGATCTCCATATTCCAAATCATAGTGTCGAAGAAGGATCCCTTATACAGGGTATGTCCGGAAAGTAATGCAATTTTTTTGGGGCGGGTAGTAAAAATGGCCGCACAGCGTTCCGGCCGGTTGGATTAGGTGGGGGGGCTTTCAGCTTTAAAGCGATACCTGCACCAGTCTGCTCCGAGCAGTTGGAGCTCCAGGATCGCTGTTCCCGTGCATCCCTGTTTAGTACGTGTGTCACGAAACGCGATGGAATCGTCACTCGAGCAACGTTACTCGATAAAGTTTTGTTCACTATTGAACAAATCTCTTGCGGAGACTTACCAAATGATTAAGCAAGCTTACGGGGACAATGCTCTTTCGTATTCGCAAGTTTCGAGGTGGTTGAAAGCGTTCAAGGATGGTCGGGAAGAGGTTTCCGATGAACCCCGCAGTGGACGGCCGTCAACCAGCACAACCGACGACAATGTGGCCCGTGTGTGTGCTGAGCTGAATTCTGACCGTCAGTTAAGTGTTCGGACGATTGCAGACAACCTCAACATTCCCAAAACAATTGTGCACGAACTGGTGAAAGCCCCCCCCACCTAATCCAACCGGCCGGAACGCTGTGCGGCCATTTTTACTACCCGCCCCAAAAAAATTGCATTACTTTCCGGACATACCCTGTATGTCTCTTCAGAGGTGTTCGTGCTGCACATACTTAGTTATTTGAATTTTCCTGTGCTGTGGTCCATCACAGAGCACAGGCCCATCATATTGAGTGTTTTACCCTCTAACAGGTATTAAAAAAAAGAAAGCAATAAATTTACATAACAACACCAGGCAAAGTATCATCATGGGATTTATGAAATATCACATCTGAGAAGGAAACTGCATGGTTTAGCATGCTGATACAATTGCTCCATTGTGGGAGAAAAGCTCTCTCTTGGATTCCTAACTGCCCTGTTCATTAAGATTTCATGAAACCATCTACATTTGGTGAACATGAGACCTTGTTCCTCCCAATACCATTTTTGGTGCTCATCTGTAGGAGATAAAGGAAAACACGCTGCTTGTATATGCTGTTTATAATTTCACCTTCAACATGTGTTATTATTTGTGGTATTATTTACTCTGTGGTATTATTTATGCCAAGGTACTTGAAACAGCAAGAAGTAAAACTTACAACAGAGATTATCTGCATAGAAAAAGAAAACTACTGTTAATTAGTGGAACTCTGACTAAAAGAATGGATCATCATCCAGCTGCTCATTAGCTGAGGATTAATTATAACCATTGTTATGCATACTCCCCCCCTTCCCCAAAAAATGCTATAAATTTGCGTTAAACACCTTTCATCACCTTCTTCATAAATCCAGGTCTGGAAGTCAGACCTTTCAAATAAAACATGCAGAAGTATTTCTCTTTAACTTGTCCCTAACCCTTTTAGCATCATGTGACCGATTTTTCATCCATGTCTACTACTTCCAATAATGCTGTTGGTTGATTTTTATGCCATCTAACAAGAACCCCAGTTACATGAAGGAAGAAGGCTAATGGAAGGCTGTGGCCAAAAAGTCAGCCTTTGGGATTTTTATCAGGAGTACACGTGGCTGAAAAATCGACCCCATGGCACTAAGAGGTTTAAAGTAAATACTGTATTAACATGTTGATGCATGGGGTAAAGCTTAAGATCTGTATGCTGAAACCTCCTTTAGTTAACAGTCCTTTAAGAATACCTGGACTCCTATAGGGAAAAAGAGCTTAATGGCCCCATTATCTCCCTTAACCCTTTGGGTGCAGTTTAGCCATTTTTTCATCCACAGCTTTTCATTAGGTTTCTTCCATCATGTAGTTGGGGTTCTTATTATTAGATAATATAAAAATAGGCCTACAGCATTTTTGGAAGTGGTATATGTGGCTGAAAAATCGACCGCACGGCACCCAAAGGGTTAAGTAAGGTTTATCCATTTGGACCTAAATGCATAAATTATTTGGAACTCTCCTCTCTCTGAACTGGAATCTGCTTGTAATATTCAGGTGATAGTGAGGACTCAATTCTTTCTGATGAGTTGAGAAAAGCCCTTGTCCTTCATGGAGAGACACCAGGACCCATCACATCTACCACGAAGTCCCTGTACAAGAAGAGACTTCTTCGTTTCCAGCAGCTCGGAAATCTCCTCAAAATACCATCTGAGCAAGCTGTGAAAGAATCACCAAAGCCTTGTAAGTGTGGAATAGTCTTCAGGACACTTTCTTGTTTCTTCTATTGTTGAGGGTTCCTGGGAAGAATCACTAGGTTTGCTGTAGAATGAGGTTGAAATCAACTCCTTAGTTCAGTGAATGGACAGCATGTATCAGATTCTCATCCTTCACCAGAGTATCTTCATGCCTTTGGCTTGCAGGCAACTTATCAAAGTCCTCAGCAATTGGATTTTGCATTTATTGTACCTGAAGGTACGTAGTTGCCACACCTTCATTGCTCCTAAATTTGTATGCATGAGTGGATAGTCTTCATGCCTTGTTGGCATGGCAGGCTTCCCATGCAAAGTGAAAAAGGCATAGAAGAGGAGCATTATAGTTTCGAAAAGAGACCTAACTTGCAACAATTTGAAAATTTGGGAGTCTATTGCAGAAAAGTATAAAAATATAGGCTCACAAGTATAGAAGTATTGAAGTAGGCAAGGGAGGAATGATTGGCAAGGATTGTGGCAATAGTGAATGAAATGAGTCATTGAGCACTGCATATATACCATTAACTCTACTTTGCTATCTGGGTCTTTTTTGACCTAATGGGATGAAAGCTCCTGAAGTTATCATGATTGATATATTGTGTAACTCAAATAAAAACAGATGTTTCATGGTTCACTGCGAAATTTTTTCTTTGTATGTGCACTGCCCATAAATGACAATCACCTCTTGCTGTCACAATGAATCCTAGTCAAATATAGTCAAAAGTGTAAAAAAAAAAAAAAAAAAAAGAGAGAAAGAAAAAAAACAAAGAAAGAAAAAAAAGAAACAGAATGTGGTCAAAAGAGACCACAGACAGCTTTCATGTTATTTTCAAGGTGACAGCAAGGGAGAGTTTTAAAAGTTAGCAACAGAAACGTGTTATACATTACAGATAGGTTTTTCTTCTATCATCACCCTGAGACTCTTGCAAGGGTCATTACTTTCTATATTCTGAATAAAATCATGATGTGGGACTCACTGTGATCACTGTGTAGGATTCTGAGCACAAAAAGAAATAATATATTATTATGTCTGCTTAAGAAGCATGGAAAGGCACTCACTTTTTTTTTCAGAATGTGAAGATATGGACTATGGGATGGTATGGGAGTCCTGTGTGCTTACATTTTATAGGGTTTTATTGAAATATTTTTGAAGTGAAGTTCTGCATGGAGACAACACTCATGTGTTTAGATTACTGTCATGGCAGCAGCATGAGGTCAGGAATTCAAACCTCTTTCTTTTGTGAGGGTTGGTGTTACTGGTTAGCTTAAGAAGTCTCAAAGACCAAGGAAGTATGGGAAGGGTGAAAAAGAAAAAGGATTTTCTGTGAGAGGTTTGCCATGTGAGGACTGGAGAGATTTGTGAGGATTAAGCATACCTCTGTTTCCAAACTTCCTAACTGTTTTTGTCATTTTATTCCAGGCTACTCAGCGGAGCTTTCAGAAGCATTGGAAGATTTATCTCTACTGGATGAAGCAGACCTGACTTCTTGTGAGGCAGAGATGGTATCCCAGTTCCAGCGTCCTGTGGAGGGGGTGAACTGGCGGGAGGGGGTGGTGAAATCTGCATTCACCTATCTTCTCCTGGACCCCCGAGTGACTTGCAACCTACCAGCTCAGACCCATCTCAGTGAGAAGGAGAAGTTCCGCACCTTTGTCTCTTCTGTGTTCTACATTGGGAAGGGGCAGCGCTCTCGACCATATTCTCATCTCTACGAGGCACTTCGAGCCACTGAGAACAAGCACAAGGTCAGATAAGATAGTACAATGTTTTCAAGGATCCTTTCTCAATAGTTCCCTTTTTGTTCTCATTTGCCAAGCCCTTGGAAGTCATGTTTGTTGTAGTTCTGATGCCAATTAGTGCCATGCATGAAAAAAGTTTTAATTCTCCTGTCTGGAGACTTTTGTTTCTAATGCATTTTAGTGGTATTTCTCCCATGGTAAAATCTTGTGACAATGATATGATCTACTGAACCAAGTTCTGTTATTTAGTGATTGACTCTTGTTTTGAACATTGCTTACTTGGCTTCTGAGTTTTGACACAACATTGGGGAAGTCTCCATTTATGAGGAATTTTGTGAATAGGGAAAATTTTGTTTGCTGCAACTTTGATTCAACATTGCATATTATATGAAACCTCTTTGTACCAGTAATTTTGTCTTAGAACAATGAATGCATGCAGAAAGTCACATCACAGCCAGTGGGTTCCTCTCTGAGGAAACATTTACCATGTGTAGTTTCCTTGCCTCCATGCCAAGGAGTCCCTATCTCTTTCTCAGGGATAATTATTGGTGACTGCTCATATGGCTTGTGGCCTTTTTTTTTTGTTCATTCTGAAAGGAGCCAGTGAAGAAGGTGAAACAGATACAAGAGATATGGGAGAGTGGAATGGGTGTGGTATCCCTTCATATATTTCTCTCTGTCATACCTGCTGAGGCCTACACGAGGGAAGCTGCCATGATTGATGCCATTGGTTTGTCCTTTTTCTTTCATTCCCTGTCCCTCCCCAATGCCTTAATAACATTTTTTGGATAGGAACTTTGCATTGATATCTGAAGTACAGTTTTATGAGCTTTGCTTTCTTAACTTTTAATGAGATGTATCACTACTTTCTGCTGCTTTCATGACTGATTCTTCTGGTATTACCTTGGTCCTAAAATATGTTTACTTGGTGTGCTTGTGCTGCTTCCAGTGCAAGTTTTCCCCTATGAATAACTTGATCATTCACTTTGCGGAAAATCAATGTGTTCCTTGTAGTACTTGCTTAAAACCCCAAGAAGTAATGTATAGGCTGTACAAAAGCCATACATTTTGCACCCTGTGAAGAGAAAACCTTGATGGATGGAAGAGAGCTGTTGTTATCATCAGTTACCTCTATCCCTGAAATATCAATGAGGGAACCACTGTTCACTCAGTGGCTAAGCCTTAGTGGTAGGTCCTGTTGCTTTCAAGTTTTCTTGGTGGTATCCTTGTTACTGTAATTATGTATTTGCACCCATACATTGTGATAATAGTGGCTTCTTCTCTACTGGACAGACTACTGAAACCTACTGCTTCTTGCCTTCCTTGCATGACTTCAATCTCCTATGGTTCTCAAAGCTGACAAATGAACTTCCTTTCAAAAATGCAGACTCTGAATGATCTTCTCACTGATATACCTCAATGCTCCATCTCTGTAAAATTGGGAGGAGGAGCAGCCATTTAATGGTTTTCCCTTTTCTGACTTAGTCAAGTAACGATGAATTTGAGCATTTTGTCACTGAAGGTTGGAGAAGGTTTCTCAATCTGTCTGCTTTAGTGCTCAAAGGGAGAAAATAGGTATAGTACAACTGAGGAGTAGGCAATGATGTATTTTGATTTTCAGTGGTATGTTGCTGGCATTATGAGTAGGTCATCACTGGGAGCCGTAGAACTAAGTGGAATTCATCATAACATCTTGAATATCTCAACTAGAGATGCTCCCTATTTAGATCAATTGTGGAGAATCAACTTCAGTATGATAGCAAGTAAACTTGTTAAGCTTTCCCATCACTATGTAAGCCTTGATCTTCACCATTTCTCTGTATCATGACTCTATTATCAAGAGTCCTGATAGTGTCCAAGTGTCTTAATAGAATTTAAAAAGACTGAGAAATTGGAATGTAAGAGATCTATATGTACTCTGTATATACTTATCATGAGATAATAAAATCTCAGTGTAAAACAGGTTATAATATTACATTTTCAGAGTTCCCATTAAATTTTTTCTTATAATCATCTTAAATACCTAAAAATTGTATTGTTGCATTGGGAAGTATTGTACTTCATGAGTGTATGGAACATCTAATCATAAGTTGAGATCAATTTGCCAACTTGCCAAAACTTCTTTTGCATAATCTCCATAGCATAAACTTCAAAAGGTTAGCATTTTTACTCTTTACTATTGGTTGTTTACTTACTCTTTTTTTTTTTTGGAGCCAAATCCAAGAAAGATTTACATTTACTGTAAAAGTTGGCTCATTAGGGTGATTTATTATTCTGTGGATATTGTGAATAACATTTGTATATCAATAATTGTGTTTTTATAGGTCTGAAGAATTTGACAAATATCCGGCGTGGTGATTACTATGGGATCTCATCAACATGGGATCCATGCCAACGGAGACGGGTTGGGACATTCCTCCTCCTCAAGGCCATGCGCATCCTCCTCCATGAGGGGGAACGACAACTCTGGCCTGCAAATTTATGACACCTTCTCATGATCTCTATATTCTACATGATGACTCAATCCTGTATATATTATTACCTTCAATGCCCTTTTTTATTTATGATCTTCCAGTTTTCATGATCTCTTCCAGTTTTAGTGATCTCTTTTGCCAATATCCAACTCCTCATGACCTCTGAATCTAAGACAGCAGCACCTTTGGTCTCATGTCTTTGGTGACTCTTTTCTGTTTACTTGATCTGTTTTTCCTCCACATTATATGATCTCAATTTTCTGTTTTTTACCTCAATTCTGCGTTTGACCAGAATACTCTGTTAATCTTCGTTCATTTAGTCTGACAATAGCTCACTTTTCATGCCAAGACCATCTATGATTTTTTTGCAATCAGAGTCCATATGACTTTATGCATGATAACTTTTGAATAGCTAGTTTGATCTTGCTCTTCCAAATTAAAGTCAGTAGTCATAGCAGCTCAAGATTTTATCAGTACAGTCACATGTTCATTTTATATTTGGCTGTGTTTTTCTGATTGTTTCTTTTTTTGGATTATCTAGCTTAGTTGGACCATCTATTTATTGCAACTCTCTGGATTAATCCATTTTGATAAGATGTCAAAGCATTCAGTCAGACTTCGCTCAAGATTGTACAAAGTGTAATAAAATTTTGGCTATTGTGCAATGCAGGATTGTGATTGATATTTAAAGAATCATGTGTAGAATGACTCCAATTCAACTGCGCAGTCTCATACCTCACATCCATGCCCATGCACAAAATAAGTCTGTACACTTCCTCCGTTTGTCTTGGAATACAGGTTCACGATGTTTAATCGGAACTATTGACCCAGTTGGCTCAGTGGTTAGTTGCCTTTTGAATATTTTTTGCTCAATTGGAGGTGTAGGTATGCCTGTAGAGCAAGCGTAAAAAATACTGGAGAGCATTTTCAAACGTTTTGGACTCTTTTTCGGATGACTTCGACTTCAATGCGTGAGAAGTTCGGTGCATGGGTGTCGGAGTCGAGTGAAAGCGTGTGGAACTCAACTGAAGGAAAAATTATTGTTTGAACCACTGAGGTCGTTCGAAGCCAAAGACTACCTGGCGGAGTTGGAAAAACGCTGCAGATGGCTTGAGATGCGGGAGTGGGTTTCAACGATCACAAGAACCAGGTTAATACTGAAACTACCGTAAATCGCTCGTCATCTTTAAAATGCTGTCCACTTGGAAGGAATGAATCCGCATATTCGAAGCAACGGGCTCTGGTATAAATTACTTGAATGTCACCTTACATACGAGAACAGTGCGGGATACAGTACTCTTGCTCCATTGTAGTCACGTGGAGGACGAACCTCCACGAACAGGTAAAAGGAGGTTTATGTGGAAACTGATGAAAAGATCTTTCTCTGACCGCACATGACTTCAAACACGGTGAACTCGGGCCTATGCTCTAAGGTGTCAGCTGGCCCACGTCTCCACCCCCCAGGGCCGTTCGAAACTGAACGAATTTGCACATTTCCTTCCAATTCCGGTTACAATTCGAAATGACTTCTGTTTCAGAATTTAGTAGTATAAACTGTTGAGTTAAAATTGCCGGTGGGAACATCGCAAGTTTTTCATACCCAAATCCCAGTACATTATATTTTGTTCCCTTTTGTATTTCTCCTTTGGTTATGCTGTTTCTCAAAAATATGAAGACCTATAGCAAAATTATTTCACATATTTCATTCGATAGGTGTAGTGCGAAGCCAATTTATTCAAACGGCCTCACATTTCCATCGTAGCAGAGGAACTGTCTGTGTCAGTCGAGGAACAAGAAATGCATCCCACCATCGAGATTGCGGATGCGTTGAATGAGACGCAATACTTCGCGCGTGAGCATGCATGCGAAACGCACGACCAGATGATACCTGCAAAACTCGAGAAAGCGCAGGACATGTTCTGACATGACACACTCACCAGTACTGTGTACGTTATTTCTGCCTGAGAAACTCACGATGTACGTTACCTATTCATCTGGAGATGTACATGGGTTTTATGCAGAAGATGCTAAGAGGTTTCTGCATTAAGAGTTTTTTTTACAGCCCTTTTTGATATTACATCATCCCACTAATTATTTGACTCATTCTTTATTGCAATTTCATCCCATACTTTCCTCCTGCCCTTCAGTAAGCTGCACTTGGTGCAACATTGCCAAATGTAGTAAAGCTCGGCCCAGACGCTACAGACATTTCCATTTAGACATGGAACAATTGAGGAAAGAACCAAAATCCCAAGCAGAATTTCAAAATAGATTGTGATGCGAGACGGTGGTTCAAGTACGATGGATGTTTTCAATTCTCGGGCAATTTCGTTCTACGGTGGTTCACCCGAGCCACTCGAGGGGCGAGATAATTTCTGGAGCAGCCTTTGTGACGCCTTCGATATTTCTTCTTTCACTGCAGCGAAATAAACCTTTTATTAGAAGCGTGTGCAGGTGAAGGGTGCAAGACGAACTCGGACGAGTGCCTCAGTTTTAAAGGATCCTTCAATGTTCCGTTTGGGAAGCTTCTCGACTGGGATCACGAAGGTCAATCCTCCGTGACATGATCGTCCGGAAAAGTTTGAAATATTCCTCGCATTTGTGATGGCGTGATTGCGCCGAATAATGTCCGACTGCATCGGCCGATAATCCGGGCGATGCACTGGAGATCTCGAAAATCCTCGATCGGTTAGCACCCAGCATCGATGTCGGTATCGGGCCAGTTGCGATGACGGACGCGGCGCGGTCGAGCGACGAGCGAATCGCCGCCGTGCATGTTGCAACCGTTGATCCTGTTTCGACTGCGATGAATTCCGGGTGAAGGCTTCGGTCTGGAAGCAGGTGAGACCGGTCGGACCGAACGACCCGGAGGGAGTTAAAGCATAGACCTGGCGAGGCCGACACCTTTCCTGGGGAAATAATCGGACTCGGCTTTCCTTTGTGACGTGTGTGTGCGAGAGAACGAGACGGCGAGCTCGGGTGACTCGGCTCCGTTTGGGCATGCTGGAATTTTCTGGCAGATCTCGACAGATAGCTTTTCCTGGACCTTCTCGAGGAAAGACGGAAGTCGGCTCGGTTGGGACAGAGCCGCGAAATCCGACGGAGTCTCTCCCTCGACCGCCTCGAGACTCGGTGTCCCCGCGACCGACGCTTCGCCTCCGGCTCGACGGAGAGGAGACCGGAAAGTGAGTCTTGCGAATCGCGATGACAGACGGTGCCTGGAACGTGCGATGCTCCGAGTGGAGGGCCAGACGTGAAGGCGGGGATCGAATATTCAGGGTGGGGATTTTGGCTTCACCTTGACAGACGGGTCTGTTTGGGTGGGATTCCATTGCAATCGTGATCAAAGTATTATCTGGAATTCCCATAGGTACTATAGGGAAATGCCAGATATTGCGGTCGGTTTGGCACTTATATATATATATATATATATATATATATATTATTTTATTTTTTTTTCATTCTGTCTGTCCGCAGTAACCATAGCGACCGGATAACACGACCCAATGCGCACGCGCAGCTTTCCGCCTGGGTCGGGGTACGCGTCTTTCACGAAAACATCCACTTCCCATCTAGCCCTGACGGCTGACAGATCCATGGTATACAATGGGGGAGAGCAGCTGCTCCCGGCCGCGTGGACAGGGTTGCTTGGCGTACACGTGAAATGCGCATCTGGCATCCTACACATACTCTCCTACCCATCTCCACGCGATGCGGACGCGCGAACCATAGGCCTATGCCAAACCAATGACAGCTATTAAGTATTTCAAGGTTGGATGTTTAGGATGCGGTGAATATTTAAAATCCTGTGGTACAGGGGCCAGTGGAATGCCAGATATGCTGGTACTCTCTAGTTAATTTATCGATTGGTCCGATGAAGTATATTTGCTTGGATGCAACCAGAGAGTAGTGGCAAAATAACAGAGTGCATTGATGAGAATTTTAATTCAAGAATTAAATTCCAGGATTCTGACATTAAAAAATGATTGGAGATTTACGTCATCCTGATTTTGCTTCCCCCCTTGGTTTTTCTTACAATTGTGATGCGCAAGAGAACATATTCTGCCACATTTTTCATCGCGTCGTCGCGACATCACCCAGCTCTGTCTGAAATATAATGCATGCTTCTCTCTCCTTTCACCCTTTCACCGACAAAATAATAATTCGAGCCAGTTTTCATGGCAGATCGGGATGGATTGACATTGGTTTACGTTAGGTCGTTTGGGGACGGGGATGGATTCCAGATCTCATCTCGCTCGATTGAGGGACGTCATGGATCCGAGATGATGAAGAACGCGATGCATCGATATTCTGCCAAGGACCACCGTCACAATGAATTGAAACTCTGCAAGGGACCAGCGTCGCGTCGTGGACCTCCTCTGGCAGCAGCTGGTCCTCTTCCCGTTCCACAAAGGAAATTCTTGGGAATCTCTCCCCCAGCTTCGATTTGGTGCGTTCTGGATCTCTTCATCGGTGTCGAAAATTAATTGGACTGTTTTGTAGCTCACTTTTGTCTTGCAAGTATTTTTTGGGCTCTACTATAAGCGCCTCACCAATTTCGGTCGCTACAGCTCAGGTAGCACTTCCTCTTTCGTCGGGGACGAGTCATAATATACATGGTGGGCCAAAAAAAAACAAAGATATCATTTTTGGTAAGTTGTCAATCTAATTGTAGGTTGCCAATTTTTTTAACGAAATTTGGTAGACACATAGGGTGACTCAATAAGGGTTTGTGTGCCAAGTTTCAAATGAAAGTTCCAAAAACTGTGAGATTGGCATTTAATTTACATTTCATCACCAAAAAAGTAGGTGTTCATTTTTTCTTTCAGCTTAAAATCTTTCACAACTGACAAGAACAAACAAGCAAACAAACAGAACAAAAACAAATGCACAAATGCCAAACACAAAAGCCCACAATTCGGTTTACACAAAAGCCCACAATTCGGCACGCTCATTTCAACCGAAAAGGTGCTCAGTGTGCCCTCCATTCTGTTGAACACTAGCCTCCAGTCTGGGACACCACAATGAAAGGCTCGGTGAATAAACCTTTGAGGCAGTGCTTCCCAATCTTCCTTTGTAGCATCATGCAGGGATGGAAGTTCACGAATTTGAACCTCCCTTTCATCTCAGCTTCAAGTTCATATCGATCTTTTCGACAGCACATGTAACGACATGTGCTGTCGAAAAGATCATCAGAAAATAGTTACAGCTCTTATAATTTTAGAGCCAGAAAGCTAAAATTTGGTATACAAACTCCAATTGTGCCACCCTATAAGTCTACCAATTTTAATTAAAATCGGCAACCTACAAAGAGATTGACAACTCACCAAAAATGACAGCTTTGGTTTTTTTTTTGGCTCACCCTGTATATAGTTTACTATATATAAGTATATAGCTTACCCTATTATAATATGGTAAGCCAGTTCACTGACAGCCACACTCGGCGAGGAACTGATTACGTTACGATCATAATAACGGTAATGACGTTATTGCGAACGACTCGATGCATTTTTGGGTTCATATACTCTTTCGAATTGGGTTTGTACATTTTCCAGTTAACTTTGTACCCTCCCACGAGGAGAAAAAGCTCCTACGAACTTTTCCACCGTAAACCCCTTCGTATCCACGATCAAGTGAATGTGACGTCAAATGCAATCTGATTTCGGTGTTGTGTAGAGGGAACATTTTTATCTTCCCTCTTCCCAGGTGAAAGTCTTCTATTGAATTTTTGGACAGAAATTCTACAGAGGCCTTCTTTAGAAAATTGACTCGTTTCCTAAAAGGAAAATTTCTCAATAATCCTCTACAGAGACTACATAATGAAAGAACTTTCTTTAAGCAATAGCGATTTTATGGAGTTTTTTTTTCCTTCTTCAGAGGATTCTTTAGAAGTGTATGTAACTCTAGATGGACTATTTTCTCGAGAACTTTTAGGAATTCTAAAGAATGCCGCCATGAAATCCCCATGGGACACGTTCTATGGAACACTTTCACCTAGGCTGAGTCTTTCCGAAGAGGCGAAGATTTTCATAAATACGGTGTGATGTATTCGGAACGTTCGCCCAGGTGTCTCGCCGGAAAGCCGTGCACCTCTCGTGGGTGTGAAGGTGACGTTGCCGAGCGACGGAATGCCCCTCACGGAATGCCTCCAATCGATTTTCACCGTCCCGCCCCCCCCCCCCCCCCCCCCCATCCCCCGCCCTGCGCTTATGGATCGCCTCGCACGAACGAGGAAGCGCGCGGGAGCGGTGGGTCTCGTCCGCGTTTGCGACGTCTTGTCATCCGGGCACTCGTGCAGGTGACGCCCGGGAGGACGGGGCTTCCGACTGCGTCTGCTGGTGCGAGGCGAGGAGAAACTAGGCTGCTCTTCTGCCGGAGTGACGTTGCCTGAATTCTCGGTGAGTCCAAGGTTCGGTCGAGAAGATCACGCACGGGTCGGGAAGTTCGCCGCGAAGAAGTCAAAGAAAAAATGTTTGTATCTCCTAAAGTGGCTCGAACATTCGGATAAAAATACCCAACGACGATGTGGATGTAATCGGTCACCGACGATGTTCCGTGCAAATATCTCGAATAGAGCCGAATACGATCCAATGCCTGCTAATAACTCGAAAAAATGAGTCAATCATGCATACTAAAACTAGGCGGAAAATTCAATTGACTCCCGCAATCTCTTTACTGGACGAGTCGAGACGTCGATGGTCGCTCTAGCGATGCACTGTCGGCCGCACTCGATGGGGTCGTTCTTGAACACTGTTGAAGGAATGACATTTTTATGAAAGCACCAAAGGGTCAGAGAAGAGGCGAGCCGATACTAGCTGCGAGCCTGTAGTCCTTACTACGTGATAGTCTGAGCGATGGGAACGATTCAGATGAAGTCCGAGATGGGATGCAATGCATTTTAACAGAATGCAATCCACTTATTATTTTGTTCTCCCATCAAAATGTAACTTGAAAATAAAATAAAATCGAATCAAAATATTACATTTTGGGTCAAAATTACCGTAGGTCGTTTTGATATTTAATCAAAACGCTTAACGTTCGATTGAATGTCATGAAGCAGAAAAAGTGCGCGCCAAATTCACCGATTAAGGGAGAAATTTTGCGAGGGTGCTTTGAATAGAAACTGCAGAATTCATTTTTGCGTTGAAAATAGCTCGGAAAAAGAAAACTGTTCGGCGTATGTGACTGGCTACGTGCTTAGGCGGGTCCACTTTTCTATCTTTAAGTCATCCGAAAATTCAATGAGAGCCAGCGTCAGGCTGCGGATATACTGCTGATGTTGATACTGATGTTGATGCTGATACACTTGAGACTATCCTTGCGTTATATTTTTTGAGATAACTATGCTTATGCCCATTACAAAATAATTCACGTCAGTAGTGCACTATTCCTAGCGTCATGTAAACAAGGACCCGAGCCAGGGCCGGATTAAGGGGGGGGGAGGGGGCAAAGGGGGCTGTTGCCCCGGGCCTCGCAACTTCTTAATCCGGCCCTGACCCAAGCATATGCAGGCAACCCGCCACATGACGCCACTGTTGATCATCGCTAATTTTGCTACTATGATGTCGAATTAGCGAATCATAGCTTATATAAAGATTTGTCCACAGGACACAAGTTTACCAAGTGACGATATGACGAAGGCTCACTCTAACCGAAAATTTTGAAAATTTATGTGGAAGAAAGCTTAAATAACAAAAATTCGTACAATTTAATGTGTGAACCTGGAGGTAAATATGCGATGATTTTTCTGTTACTTTCGGAAATATGTTCATAAACTATTCATAAACAACTGTCCTCGATTTCTCATTCATTTTTCTTTTTGTACTTGTGCAAGGACATTTTAATGTTCGTTCAAAATGGTTTTCCATACTCTCCCTGCACACTTTCGTATCTAATCATCCCTCATCGGATTAGTGCTTGGAGTTCCCTTTACTTCTTGATGCGTCCCATTATCGGTCCTCGATAGAATATCCCTTATCTCAGGAATTCCAGATAGCGTGTCGTCGGTGAAGGACGTCCGGCTTCGAAGCACCTCGCCTCTTGCCCGCGCTTCGCATCACGCCGGGGCGTGCCAGGTCGCGTCTCCGACTCTCTTTCCTCGGAGCGTCGCCGCGTGGAGGATGCACGGTAGAGTCCGAACGAAATGGGCTTTGCGAGGCTGGTGTTGCTCTTTGCTGACCGGAATCATTTTGCGATATCCAGGGAAGAGGGAGGACTCGATTTACTTGGAGGAGCTGAGACGAGCCCTCATTCTCTACGGAGATGCACCCGGGCCCGTCACTTCCACCACGAAGTCCCTCTACGAGAAGAGACTTCTTCGTCTTCAGCAGCAGGGAAATCCCCTCAGAATATCATCGGAATCAGCATTGAGAGCGTCGTCAAAGACTCGTGAGTGTTGAAAAGTTTACAAGGCGATTCCTTTTGTCCTCGTAGAGGCCTGAGATGAATCACTAAGTCGGACAGTGATAATTCGAGTGCGAGTCCATGCTTGGCATTCATATAAAAAGGCCTTTCCTGGAGCATGTAATCTTAATTCTGTAGTATTATTCTGTAGTACTTGATTAGACAGAGGGATGCAACCGTAAGAATTATTCATACTGCAATGATGATCTATGCCGGAGGAGGAAGCACTTTTTCGAATTTTAGACTGAAATAATGAATTTTAGAAGACTAGGAAAAAAGGCTCACAAGAAAAAAATTATCAGACATGTGGAATATTTGCTATGAATGCCTTTCTTCACCCTTTACCATCCAGGTTTTATGTGGACTATTCAATCTGGGAATGTTTTTTAATTCTTGTCTAGTACTTAACACAATTACTCCAATGAATCGTGTCATCCTTTTTCAAAAACGTGTAGATAACTTAATGAAGACACCAGAAAGCGTTTCGAGTTTCTCGCGCAAAATACTTTATAATGAATACAAGGAGAATTGTATGCATTTAAAAATTTCTCTAAAACTAGCAAGCATTTTAGATAATTTTTATGAACGGAGCCTGAACGAATGAACTATACGAAAGCGGAGCGACTTTCTATCGTCGACTGGAATCTGCTATGAACATTAAGGCGAGAAGAAGAAGGACTGGATTGATTCGGATGAGTTGAGGGAGGCCCTCATTTGCGGGGATCCACCTGGGACCGTCACTTCCACCACGAAGTCCGTCTTCGAGAAGAGGCTTCTTCGGCTGCAACAGCAAGGAAAACCTGTTGAAGTATCGGCTGAATCAGCATTGAAAAAGTCGTCAAAACCTTGTGAGTGTTGAAAAGTTTACGAGGCAGTTCCTACTGTCCTTATGGAGTTCTGAGATGAATAGCTTGATACAATTAATTCTATGAATGGCGGAATCCGTTTTCGATAATACGTAGATAACTTCATGAAGATTCCAGATGGCGCTACTAGCTTCACGTACAAAACGTTTCCTAATGGTTGCACAGTTGCTCAACAGATGATGAATAAGTGCACATTACCTTTTTTCAGAGCATTGTATGCATTTTACAATTTCTCTCAAACTAGCAAGCATTTTAGAGTTTTTTTGTGGTCGGAGCCTGAACGAATGAGCTATACGAAACCCGAGTGGCTTTTTATTGTCAGCTGGAATCTACTTTTAAAATATTCAGGCGAGAAGGACTCAGCTGATTCGGATTCGGATGAGTTGAGAAGGGCCCTCATCCTTTACGGAGATACGCCTGGGCCCATCACGGCAAGTACGAAGCCCCTCTACGAGAAGAGGCTTCTTCGTTTGCAACAGCAGGGAAATCCCTTTAGGGCACCGTCTGGGCCAGCGTTGAAAAAGTCGCCAAAACCTTGTGAGTGCTGAAAAGTTCACGGGATTGTTCCTTTTGTCCTCGTAGAGTCTTGAATCTCCAAGTTGTATATGTTTGAAATTAATAGCTCAGGTCATTGCATGGACTGTTTACGTTAGATACTCATCCTTCACCAGATTAGCATCATGCCATTTTATAATTGATATGATGCTACTCTGGTGAAATCCACTATTTCCATTTAAGGACTTGCATTGAAGAGCCATGGAATTCAACCTTTGGCCAGTGGTCCTTTCTTGATAAAAGATGAAATTGTCAGGAGTCTTCTCAAATTGACCATTTCTCTTGATGTTTGATGACATGATGTAAGTATGACCTCAAGCGAACAAACTCTTCATTACATGTCATTAAACAGTCATATGAGTTACTAGACGATATACCATAATTTTCATTTTCAGGAAATGTTAGTCAAGAGATGAAAAGACTTCTCTTTGCAGATGGCTGAAGGTAGCGTTGTGACTTTTTTCTTTCACCAGTGCATGAGTGACGAACGTTGCCATCGGAGATAGTGACATGTCGCCATCTAAAAAAATGCGATGCTCGGCTGGATGCTCTAAATTGACTTCCTTGTATCACATAGATTCAAAACGAACCTCTTTTGTTGCCTCGAACCTCTTAATACCACGAAATTTCCCATCCTGAGCTCACCTTGCTCAAAAAGGTTTGGAGGGCGCTCAAATATTTTTTATTCAGAATGGAATACTTTTAATATTTGCAACGGATGCCCCTCACCGTACATGTATTAGTCAGACCCTTCAAGTTAAATATCTAAACTTTTTCCTCTACATTCCCCTTAAAGAAGAGAGTAATCTTTTGAGGCACCTGAATGAATAAACTATCTGGAACCGGATATACTTGGATTTGCTCTTGTCGAATGAAACCTGCTTGCAATATTCAGGCGAGGGCGAGGAGTCAATTCATTTGGATGAGCTGAGGGAGGCCCTTATTCTTTTCGGAGATACACCTGGGCCTGTCACTTCTGCCACAAAGTCCCTTTACGAGAAGAGACTTCTTCGTTTTCAACGACTGGGAGATCCCCCCAAAATCACAACTGAAGCAGTTGTGAAAGTGTCACCACGTGAGTATCCAGAAGTTTCCTTCCATTGGTATCCATAAGGCCAAGATGCCTTTGGTGAATATTCGCCTAAGTGTATCTTGGATAGATGGCTTGTTGGCAGAATCCCTAAGACCATAATCTATGAGATTTCGTCTCTTTCACCCCGCTTTCATGGCGAGTTCACACTAATAGTGAAGTATGAGAAAAGTGGAAACAATTTTGACGAGAGTTGCTAGGAGAAGTTTGCAGTCAGAGGATAGAAGAAATTCGCAAAGGCTCTTAACGTGTCTTTGGAAATTCCGTACCTTTTTAAGGTGATTGCGTTTCAGGCTTCCCAGAGGAGCTGTCAACCGCGCTGAAAGACGTATCCCTGCTGGACGAGGCAAGGCTATCCCGCCTGGAGGCAGAGATGGTGTCCGAATTCCAGCGCCCCGCGAGGGACGCGAACTGGCGTGAGGGGATAGTGAAGTCGACGTTCACCTATCTCCTCTTAGATCCCCGTCTGACCCGCGACCTCCCTGCTCAGACCCATCTTGACGAGACGAACAAGTTCCGCGCCTTCGTCTCCTCTGTGTTCTACGTCGGGAAGGGACGTCACTCCCGACCGTATTCTCATTTCTATGAGACACTTCGGGCCACTGAGAAAAAGCACGAGGTCAGATAATACAATTCGTCCAGTTGTGTTATCTTTTTATTCATATGCAATGGACAAGGCATGCCATCATATCGTTTCAGGCAATCCCTTACAACAGGAACAAATCAGTGGTATCTCAGTACAAGGTTTTATACCTTCTCTCTGGAAATGCTGGTTTGAAATGCATTTCAGGTGCAACAAGTGTCGTTCCTTCCATCATTTACTCTCTTGGAAAAGATTAATTAACTTTGCCTATCTCGTTTTTCTTCCAGAGAGTAGTTCATGTTCTGTATTGCTCACATGAATTTTGACATTTGGCATAATGCTGGGGGAGTTTTTTTCCCCTCGAAAACATTCAAAATGCAGGGGAAAATTCTGCATGGTGCGACACAGCTTCGACTCATAGAGTTCTGTGGAAATTCTTAGTTCCTATCTTCGAACAATGAACTTTGGCAAGATGAAATATTACGATCAACTGCTTTCATTCAGCAAAAATGCCTTTTGTCCAGCTTTTAATTTTTTTATGGCTTCATCTTCGTATCGAGGAATCCCAACAACCCCTTTCCAAGGTGACCGGTATCAGTACACTCGTAAAGTTGCTTTGCCTATCGATTGCGAAAGGTGTCAGAGAAGTTGAAGCGTATCCAAGAGATATGGACGAGCGGGTTTGGTGTGGTCATCCTCCACATCTTCCTCTCCGTCATCCCGGTCGAGGCTTACACGAGGGAAGCCGTCATGATCGATGCCATCGGTTCGTTCCAGTTCTCTTCTTTCTTTTCTGTCTTTCTCCAGGGATTTTCTTTGGAATGGGGATTTTGAATTGGTACCCAGGGTACCAATCGTACCTTTATATTCCTACTGTTTTCAATATCTACTTTCTGCTACTATCGCGACTGATTGCACTGGTATCTCGCTTCTATTAGGAGAACGTTCACAATTCGCATATGTGCTGTTACTTGCGCATCCTTAACGACTGGTGATAATCCACTCAAGAGAGATTAGCATCAAGAAGTCCATTCTTACATAGTACGTGCTTGGAACTCCAAGAAATAACGTATGTTCCAACCATTGCTTACCACTAGATCATAAAATGTTCGGCATGAAAATACAAAATCTTTCGGTTAAAATTTTATGGTTACAACCCCATTTTACTTGCTCGTCATTGTCTTAGAATTGCAATTAAAAAGTGAAGGAGAGATGACCCTAAATTAGTCTGAATACAATTTTGATCGAAGGCGAAGATCATACATGCATACATTTTGGAAACCATCCTTCCAAATCTAATGGGGTCTTTGGTTGAAGCAGGCCTCGGAGTATCCTCCCTTATTGCTTGACTAAAAGCAGTCTTCTTGTACCGAGAGACCCTTTTTGGGGTTTTCTCGGGGAAAATGCGGCTGGCGTGTCGGAACCACGGAACGTTTTATTTTTCGATCCTAAGACATAGCTGCTTGACCTTATGGCTCTCACGGCGTGGAACACCTGCCACCCGACGTTAGAACCTCATCGAGGCAGTTTTGCATCCACGATCTTTCAATCGTCACCCAAATTTAGTGACCACAGGTGGGGTTGGGAAAGAAAAACCTCTTAAAAGCTAAGAGTTGTGTCTCCTTGGAAATGTCGGATTTGGCAATCACAAGTCGCCAGAGTTCACGCAAATTGCTGAAGCTTCGGAAATACGATTTTCGAGCTCATTTCCATGTCGCCCCTCACTCGAAAACCAGAACATGAAGAACTTGAATTCTGTTCCAGTGAAGCTTCACTGACTAGAGCGCAACTGCACAGGATTTCTAGAGAGAATCGTGACCCGAGTTTTGGGAGCACTGAATTGCATTTCCGTTGCAGTGCATTCAGAGTCGAACCGGTTTAGTACGTTTTGAAGCTCCTGCCCAAACTGAGACAAGAGGACGGCATCGGTGAAGAGGCCTTCACCTCGACGTCACCGATATTCACCTCTTTAGACCTAAACTGTGCTCACAAATCCCGTCTACGTACACGAGGAACGGGAAAGGAGAAAGTGCGGAACTCTGGTCGTGTCCAATGTGCACCGAGGAGTCTTGCTCACTCGAACGAAACTCTTCCAATTACTGGATGAGGACTGAATGGCATGCAAGAGCTCCATACTCCTGCAGTACTTCTCACAGCTTCCCTCAAAACACACGGTCGCTCGCCTTTTCGAGGTTCACAAAGCTCATATAAAAGCTCTTTGGCATACTCCCAATGTTTCTCGAGAATCCGGTGTAGAGTGAAATGCTGGTTCGTGTTGCTGTGTCCTTTACTAAAACTTCACTGCCCTTCTTGGATGACTACTCCAATCACTACCCGAGCTCTCTTTTCCAGCGCCTCCGCATAGAGATGATTCCATGTCTGCTGAGATGATTCCACGGTAGTTGGAGCACTCCCTCGGGTGCACTACGAGCGAGTGCACAAACTTAAAAATGAAGGCACCACACTGGTATATCAATCTACATGGTTATTCAAAAGTCTGAAATCATAGCAAGTTAACAGGTTGTTGTATAGTTTCCGGGATTGAAGAAGTATAAATGGCTGAGCAAAGAAGTACGTTTGAAGTGATACTTTCGTATGGAGTTGCCAGTGTAGGGGATGTTGCTGATTTTGGCTTTTCTGATTTTTATTTCTGGGGCCATTTGAAGGCCCAGTTGTACTCCGTCAAGATTCGTACCATTAACCATTTGGAAGAGCGGTTACAGCACGTCTGTCTCCAAATTACACTTGACGTCCTGAGAAGTGTCCAGCATAACTGGGTGAAGCGAATTCGCATTTGTATCGAGATGGAAGGATCACATATTGAACACGTATTGTGAATGTATGCAATAAATGCTATGGTTCCAGGCTTTTGAATAATCCTGTGTAGGTGCCGTCCCCGATTCCCTTGCAGTTTCACATACCCATGCGAATACCCATCAGCGCCCGTTGCTTTCAGTTCCTTTGACTTCATCCACGCCAGGAGACTTCCGATTCTTCAGGCAACTGATTGCAAAAATTGGTGTCGAGACTATTCTCTACGCTAAAAGGTTTCGAGTAGGGTAGGTGATCAGTTGTGAGTGGGTTTAAGTGCGAATCAAAATGTTCCTCTCACTTTCGAAATATTTCCGTCTCGGCAGCCAGCACTTCCCGTTTCGATCTTCAATAGTCTGCAGAGCAGGTTTTCTGCCTCGTTGAAGCCTTCGGATGGTTTTAGAACACCTAGGTAGCAGTGGGGTAGTCGAATTCAAATTTTTCGCCGAATTTCCTTCTTTTAAGCTTCGGTTATGGCTCGAGCAGCAACTCCTCGGGCATCCCTGTATTACGCCCTGGAAAGGCCTAACATACTAACAGCAACAGTCTGGCGTACCCCAGGGATCCATCTGGGAGTCTGCTTGGTGTTCAAGGTTCAAGGTTCAAGGTTCGGGTGGGAACGTCCAGAGGCATTTCTGCTCATTAGGACATCCCATTACCATGTTACCGAGCTTTTCCTTCATTCGCTACTTGTCGCGCACTCTCGCTGCTGCAACCGAAACGCCGGATCTAAATGGATCTTATTCTGTCTCTATGTCAGGAGTCTCAAAGAGGTAGTTAATCATACTCTTTGCTGATCATCATTGCTGACCCTTACAAAACGTCCACCCCCCCTACGGATTTGGAACCAGGTGGATGTCCCCCCTAGGCGTTATTTCCACCTGTTGGAGCGATGTCCACCCGAGGGAAAATCCACCGGAGGGGCGTCCACCTGGTTCCAAATCCACCCCTATCCACCTGGTCAAACAACCAGGTGAATAGGGGGTGGAGGTTTTGTCAGGGGACTCATTTTCTCATCACGAAGGACTTCACGCCTAGCCCGTTCTGTAGAGCAGTGATTCCCAAACGGTGTGCCGCCAGCAAGGCTTAGTTGTGCCGTGAGATTTGAGAGTTGATGGAAAAAACTAAAAAACTAAAAACAAGAGAGAACGTCATCTCTCAGGAGAATACGAGCTGAGAGTTGCACTATCACGCCTCGTATCAAACTGTTGTGTTCCGCGAAGCAAGCACAAGTTTCCCATTGAAAGTAAGTAAATGACTGGGTGTGCCGTGGAAAGTTCAAGTGTCCTTATGTGTGCCGCAAAGATTGGGAACCACTGCTGTAGAGCGTGTGGCTCTTCACCCTGTTCTAAGGTTGGCTCATATCTGGAGCTTGCGAACTACGAGGTTCTATCTGTACTTAGTCCTATGCTTTAACCTCGTATCATTAACGTGGTCCCATAAGTCCGCCGAAACGATCACGCAATTGATCAGCGATTTATGGGACACATTCCAGTCCGATTGGCAGATCCTCTGTGCCAGGTATACTTGTAGATATGGAAGAAGGTTTAGATCATGGTCAGGCCATTGTCAGCACCATAGCCAAGAAACCTTATACCACTTCCCATCCAGTGGGACTCCTCTTTTGAGATCCACTGGGTCCACAGGGTAGACATTGGTGGGCCGTCACCGATCCAGAAGTGTCCACTCGTGGTCTAAAGCGATGGAACTCGTGTCTCTCCTCTTGGTTGATGCTTGATTGATGCCAGTCGTCGCTTACAATCCTATTCCTTTTACTATCCTCTTTCTATCGTCGCTTACTAACCTCTTCCAGGAGATCTGGCGGCTTGCCACCAAATGTCAATACGTTTTAAGTCCCAATGTTCAAAGTCGATTGCCTGTGTCGTGTGTGTCTGGAGTGACTATTGATGAGCTGACTTCATCCAGGCCTGTCGGTCCGCCTGTCACTGGTCATCTTCGGCATCATGTCCTCATTGCAAACGAGGGGTTGACACAAGGGTTAAATTCACGGTTAAGGTTGAGATCTGTTTATATACCAGGCACTTCCATTGCGAAACCTTTATGACGTTCAGGCGTGTTGTTCAAATATGCGTGGCATGAATATCCTAGCCCAAGTCAAAACCATGGAGGAAGGAAATTTTCCATATTATATTTGCGTAATAAGAAAGTAGACCTTCCATTGGAATGCCATTGATGCCATGCAAATATCGATAGATTGATTTGAATAATGGTGTCATGATAGGTCTGAGGAATTTGACAAACGGCCGACCTGGGACTTGCTATGGGATCTCAAGGACATGGGATCCGCGCAATCGAAGAGAGGTTGGCACTTTCCTCCTCCTCAAGGCCATGCGCATCTTTCTCCAAGAGGGGGAGCGACAACTCCGGCCTGAAAATTTGTGACGGGGCATAGGGGCCTCTGAATCCAGCATGATGAAAATCTTGGTCTTTTATCTTTCACTGCCAGTGACTTTTATTTACTGTTTTCTGGGTTCTGTGATATAATTTACCAATTTATGAAAACGTTTCATTATCTATATATTTTATTATAACAAAGTTGATATTATATTTTCGGTTGCCGTTTTTCATTTGCATGATTTCTTTTTTCTCCAGTTTACATAATCACGCATATATTTTTTTTTTCTCTCACTTTTCCTGGTCTCAATTCTGAGCTTGACTAGAATGACTTTTGTTCTTGTTGTCAGACTCAGGCTCATCCCTGAAACCAAGGTAATTTATGGCAGCCTTGCTAATGCAACAGTGATATTCAAGTATTTTGAGTCGAAGGCTGCGTCTGGACGTCATCAATCTTATCCTGGTCGCAAAAAAATAATGTACTGTTACTAATATAAAATTCATCATGACTAAAAAGTACTTTTTGCCTCCACTGGCCGTGGTTTGAATACCACCGGAATAGAGGCTTATCTGATGAATTTGATTTTGATGAATGTAACATGTTGCGGTGATGTTAAAGCTTTCAGTCAACTGACTAACTTGGTTCAGGATTGCATCTAATGCTATAC